AATTTTATTAAAAATTTTTAATTGAAATAATTATGAAAATTGAAAGACTCGGATAAACAAATCCTTAAATTTAAAATTGGATTTGTCATATTTCCAAAATGATTACTTAATTTTTCATTTAAATTTTCTCATTTTTCTTAAAATATGGATTGAACTTGTTCATCTTAAGAAAAAAATATTGAACGAATAGTGAATTAAATTTTAGAAAAAATAAGATACAAAATTTGAAATGATTCTTCTCCCCTGAAACTTTGATTCCATTATACTTGTAACGTATGTATTTATTCACTTTTTTCTCACGTGGTGAATAAAAAGGTGAGAAAAAATCATATTTAATATACAATAAGTGTTATACAATATTAAAATCGTGTTTTATTATAATTATTTTAAATAAGTATCAGAAATTTCAACGTCGAACATCAAAATTTTTAAGTTACGTTCCAAATTAGAATTCTAAATTTTATTAGATTTGTCATTTTCCAAACAAGAAATCTCATATTTTTGAAGTGAATTCTTTATAATTTCTTTATCTAGGCTTTGTACCTTTATAAGCAAATTGATAGAATTTTTATGGTTAAAATACAATTTCTTTTGACTAGTTTACACTAATTTCTAACTATTATCATTACATTTTTGTAATATTAAATACTTTAAACTCTAAATTCGTAGTTAAGAACAACATACTAAGTCTGTTTCTGTTTACGTATAAAAATTGCAAAATTTTTCGTAAAAAAAACCTTATCTCAGCGGTCAAAGATTAAATTATATTTTGTTTCATTTTTTTTTTCTGTAAGGATTAAAATTAAATTGTTTTTTAATAGCATGTTTTGCATTTTTTAAAAAAAAAAAATATGATGCAATTTTTTTTTTCCAGAGTTCAAAAGCCATTTAAGATTGTTACTTTCATCTAAATAATATTATGAGTCAAATTGTATAATTTGCTTTATTAAATTAGTTTAAGTTTATATTAAAAAAAATTGCATCATGGTTTCTATATAAATTAAATTATGTACATACTTTTTTAAAATTTTACAATAAGCCGACCTTATATATTATATATTTTATTTATATTGCGAAAAATTTTGTATGTATTTATATAAAATATAAGGGAATGATGGTATTAAAAAGCACATTTCTAATTAAAAAGAAATTCTAATGAATCTGATGAAATTGTTTAAGAATCATTAAAACGCAGAGAAGAAAAATTATTGTTAACGTCATTACTAAAAAAATTTTTAATTCATAAAAGAATATTAACTAGCTGAAAAGACTTAAAACTAAGAATCTTTACTATTGAATGAAAGGGAACACAAATACCTGTATAGATAAAAAAAAGGTTTTATTGAAATGAATTTTACCTTTAACCTTTACGTCGTGCTATTGTCCGAAAGTCAATTTCTGTTAACAGCATAAAATGGTTTGTAAGAGAAAATATGAGCGGTCCCAATGAAATTAATATAAATTTATTTTTTTTTTATTTAAATGGAAAATGTGCTAAAAAATTACAAAATAAATTTTTTTTTTTAATGGATTTTCTTGAAAATTCTCTATGCACCTATATTTATAACATTGTGTTCACTGAGTTAGAAAACATTAAAAATTATGAAAATATACACTGCGCAAAAGAAAAAGAAAACAAAAAAAGAGGAAAAATTTTAATTATGCATTCGCAATTCTATAGGAATACAAGCAATACAAAAAGAATCTGATGTGGTCCGCACATAACCGACCGCATTGCGTATTGTCTAGTTAAGTGAAAGTGTTACAGAATATTATAAAAATGCCTGTTAAATACTTCTTTCCAATTTTTAGGGCATTAGTAAGCTTTTAGTTAACATACCTAGAAAACTGTAAATTTGGCTCGTACTAGAGTTTTGCTTTATGCCACCAGAATTCACTTAAATGCTCGTCAGTTAAGTTCGGTAACAACCAGAATTCAAATATCAAATTTCAAGAAATTCCATCATGGTAAAAAATGTAAAATCGGCCCTCAGAAACTGATCTGATTTCGAGCTCTCTGATTTATCCAAAAAATTTATAGATTCAATGTTTTAATACGAATATTTCTCTTTATATACGCAAAAATGTATTTTTGGCACATATTAAACGTCCAGTTGCTGGCGCCTGATTTCTTCCAAAAGGTAGGAGGTCGTCCGTCCGCGACGAGCGAAGCTTACATATGAAATTTCAAGAAAATCGGTTGAATATTTTCTTCATAATGAACAAAAAAGTATAACAGGTCCGCTAAAAAGTGCAGTTCCCGAGGCCTGATATATTCCAAAAGATAATGATCAAGCCATACCATAGTCGAAATAAACTTAGATATAAAATTTGACCGATGGACCGACAGACCAACAGACCGACAGGTTACTAAAAAAACATTATTTACACTTCCCTACCATGGAGAAGGGTATTCCCATCGAAAACTAGATATGCATAATTTGTTGCCATCACATAGCCTACCTATTGTATACACAATACGGTCGGTAAAAGGGGATTTTGATTAGCAATTATCATAGAATGTTATTATAAAAATTATTATTCCATTCCTAAAGGAATGTTTAATATAAGTATATGTACATAATACAAAGTAAGATGGTTAACATGTAAAAATTGAAATTAAAAAGACAGTGCATTCAAAATTTACCTACTCACATTTAAATATTTGTACTTATTGCGACATTTCAGATTATATAAAAATCAGACATTTAACTTTCTAAAAGACTATAGGTTCAAATATTTCGGTAATTCAAAAGAAATCAAGTGTATCCCAGATTTCTGAACTTTAAATCAGATTTTGATCAATAATTTTGTTCGGAAAATTATGCGGTTTATATTACATGTTATTTTATTTGGGTTTATGTTATATTAAGTTGCTGCTTATATAATTTTATTTAAATTTTTGTTTTGTTTTTGAAAAGCAATATTTTATATCTTTTGTCTTGCGTTAACAATTTGTTCATTTATGTCGATAAATTTCCGAAACATTAAATTTGTTTACTAACTCTTTAACAATTTTAATAGCAATTTAACCTCATTGTATAATTTTAAATTAAAAAATTTAATTAAATTAAAATAAATCTGAAACATTGGCAAAAATAAAGAATTTATTTTTATTTGTTTTATACCTATATATAATATGTACATACAGAAATAAAATTCTAAGTTAAAATTTTGATCGATCAAAGTATTTAATAATTATTAATAAAACGAAATTCTTATTTCAAGTGCTAATTTTAATGCTAATCTGATTTTTATTAAAAAAAAAAACATAATAAGTTGAAAAATAAAATTTTGTGCGATTTTTTTTTTTTTTTTATAAAATATTTAAATAGTATTTTAATAGATGTGATAATAATTAGTACCTAATTGTTATTTCAAACCAAGTTTTGTAGAACAAGTATACGTACGTGGTATGTATGTATTAAAGAATGAGAAAATATATTTTCTAAATTAGATGCATATGATTAAAATTATCAATAAATTGCGTTATTTGCTTTAAAATTCCTTAAATAATAAAGGGTTTTCACGAAACAGTTCAAATTAATCTATTATTAGGACAGTGCCGGATAACGGTTAGATATGACATTGTGTTTAGGTATTCTGTGAAAATTCACCACATTGTTATAATAATATGCACGAGCAAGTAATCGAAAATTTCCCCTACCTCATGTTGTCGTTTTCAATATCATCAAAATTCAACGTGAGTTTTTTTTATTTTTGTTATTGACTGATAGTAGAATATTTTTTTTTATTAACGGTAAATATTTTCATTATATATTGTTATCACCTTGTAAGATTGTATTTGTTATTGTACAAATGAATTATTTTAAGTGAATGAACTACAGTATAACCCGTTTGTGAAAAACTCTTATAAAACAAACCTCCTATTTATGTAAACACTTTTTCATGTACTTGTAATTTTACATAAATTTTCTAAAAAGAAAATCTCTTAAAAGCGGCAATAATTGTAAATGACCAAAATGTCAACATATGTAAATCAGCAATTTACCCTCAAATAAGACAGGATAAAAACGGAATTAAAATAAAATTAAATAAAATTCACAATCAGTTTAAATTTATAGTATATTTTTAAATGTCAATTTAAATAATTTTTGGTCATATTTTGGCAATAAGTTTGCTATATGTGACTAAATATAAACGTTTATTTAAAAACAAAAAATTTGCGTGTTAATTTTTTTTTTATGGAAAATTCCTTGTAAGAAATCGATCGATTTTCCCTTAAGAGGGAACCTTTTAAAGGAAACTTCCGCTTATAAGAAACAAATTGAATAGCAAAGAAAACTTTCATTTATGTGGGTTATACTATAAATGAATATTGTTATTGAAAAATATTATTTAATATTATTAAGTATAATAAAAATATTCGAGTTCTCAATATAGCCTAAATAGCTCAATATAGTTCAATATAGCTCAACCAATTATGATGCCAAAATATATGTACATACTGATTAATCATATCTTACTTTGTGTCAGGTATACTAGTCGCCTGATGATTGCTAAATATTTACTACTTTCGAAGCAAAAATCACATTGACTAAAAGTTTAAAAAAAACTCTGATTATTATAATATATAATCTTTGTGTGTGTGTGTTTAAAATGTATTACCATAGATCAATAACCTATAAGAATAAAAAAAGTTAATTTTCATTGACAACTTTTCCGAAATGTAATTTCTCTAAAAATTATTAAACAAATTTTTTAATAAAATTGAATCAGTTTTATAATTAGAACTTTTGTCGCCCTTAACCACTTTTCGGTTTTGGATTATTTTCCAATATTGATTTTTTAATTTCGTGGTAATTTAATTTGTTTTTTTTTTTCTTTACTTTATTTTTATTTTTTTAATTATTTAGATTTAAATGAACTTACACAAATAAATCATAAATTTATTAAATGAATCATTGGAAATTTTAGACTTGTTCAATACAATTCAAATTGTTTTTAAAATTTAAATTTTTTTTTTAATTATTTTACAGAATAGAGAAGATGGCTTAAATATGAACGTTATACCCGCCTGGAAAAAGGGTTATACTGGAAAAGGTGTCGTAGTAACAATTTTGGATGATGGCCTAGAAACAAATCATCCTGATCTTGAAGAAAATTATGTGAGTATTTTTTTCAAATAAAAATTTGTATGCCTATAAATATGTTACTGTTATGTAGCTTACATATAGATTTATGTTATGATTTGTATTAAATTTTTTATATTTTCTTATTTTCAAAGGATCCTGAAGCATCGTACGATGTAAATAGTCATGACAATGATCCAATGCCTCATTATGATCTAACAGATTCGAATCGGCATGGTACAAGATGTGCTGGTGAAGTTGCTGCAACAGCAAATAATTCTTTATGTGCTGTTGGAATTGCTTTTGGTGCTAAAGTTGGCGGTGTTCGAATGTTAGATGGAGATGTTACTGATGCTGTAGAGGCGCGATCGCTTAGCTTACATCCTCAACATATTGATATATATAGTGCGTCATGGGGACCAGATGATGATGGAAAAACAGTTGACGGACCTGGTGAAATGGCATCTCGTGCATTTATTGAAGGTGTTACAAAAGGACGTAATGGTAAAGGTAGCATCTTTGTTTGGGCATCGGGGAATGGTGGAAGAGAATTGGATAATTGTAATTGCGATGGCTATACAAATTCCATATGGACTTTATCTATATCTAGCGCAACTGTTAGTAGAAGCTTTTTTTTTTATGAGTACAATTCCTTTATTTCGAAACTTATTTATTTAAAATTAGGAGGAAGGTCATGTTCCTTGGTATTCTGAAAAATGTAGTTCAACCTTAGCAACTACCTATAGCAGTGGCGGTCAAACTGAAAAACAGATAGTTACAACAGATCTTCATCATTCATGTACTATATCTCATACCGGAACTTCAGCTTCGGCTCCTTTGGCTGCAGGAATTGTAGCTTTAGTCTTAGAGTCTAATAGAAATCTTACCTGGCGTGATTTGCAGCACATAGTTGTACGTACTGCTAAACCAGCCAATTTAAAGGACCCCACATGGTCAATTAATGGTGTTGGCAGAAAAGTGAGCCATTCTTTTGGGTATGGTTTAATGGATGCAGCTGGAATGGTGGAATTAGCAAGAAAATGGAAAACAGTTCCAGATCAACAGCGTTGTGAAATTAACGCCCCACATGTGGATAAGTAATAAGAAATTTTACAAAACTTTTTGCCTTTTTCTTTGTTTATTTAAAATGAGTTATCACGTTGAAATATTTTCATTTTAGAATGATTCCGGCCCGAAGTTATATTACTCTGCAGTTAACAGTAAAACACTGTATTTCAGTTAATTTCTTGGAGCATGTTCAAGCTAAAATTACACTAACTTCACAACGAAGGGGAGATATTCAAATACATTTGATTTCTCCAGCTGGAACTAAAGTTACATTGTTGACACAAAGGTGAATACTTTTTTATTAATAAAAATTATAAAATTTGTAAACAATATTTCATTGAATATTGTAGAATGCATGATGCTTCGCGGTCTGGTTTTAGTCAATGGCCTTTTATGTCTGTTCATACTTGGGGTGAACATCCTCATGGTAATTGGCAACTGGAAATTCATAATGAAGGAAAATATATGGGTACTTATTTATATTTTTATGAATTTTTAAATATTATATTCTATTAAAAAAATTCTTAATATAATCATTTTTAAAAATTAGCATTTAACTAACCAAACTTTGTCATAATTTTGTTTTATGTTAACTATTTAATAATCTCTTATTAACAAAAAAAAATGAAAGGAAATGCATTACTCCGTGAATGGTCATTAATTTTTTATGGAACAGCTATGCCCATTGATAGTTCAGATCCAAGTTCAAAACCAATAACAACAACATCAAATTATGACAGTGAAAAACTATTCACAACCTCCAAGAAAAATTATTTTATTAGCATCGCTAAACTTTTAAATATTACAAATATTCATAATAATACCAACAATAATTTTGATTACAATAATAGTAATAGTAATATTAATTACAATGAAAATAGTAACGCAAATACTAATTATAATAAGGGTAATAATGATGATGATCGTGTTGGTAGTAACAATAATAATAATTATAACACCAACAAAAGTAATGGTAATAATAAGAATAACAATAATATAAAAAATTATAATAACAATAACAATAAGAGTAATAGTAACAATAATAATAGTCATAATAATTATAATTATAATAATAATAATTATAGTAATAATAATAATAATAATAATAATAATAATAATAATAATAATAATAATAATAATAATAATGACAATAATTATAATAATAATAATTATTATAATAATAATAATTATAATAATAATAATAATGAAAATAATAATTACAATAATAATAATGACAACAATAACAATAATAACAATAATAATAATAATAAGAATAATAATAACAACAATAATAATAACAATAACACTAACAATAAGAATAATAATGGTAACAATAACAGTAATGGTAGTGGTAAGGATAAAAATAAGAAAATATCTTCTTCGTCATTAGGCAATAAGAAAATCAACAATAATAATAACAATAATAATAACAATGGTAATAAGAATCTCAAGAAGAATTTTTCAAACGGCAAAAAAAATCAATCATCACATTCAAACGTGTTCAGCGGTAATAATAATAATAATAATAATAATAATAATAATAATAATAATAATAATAATAATAGTAATAGCAATAATAATAATAACAATAATAATAATAATAATAATAATAATAATAACAATAATAATAGGAATAACAATAATAATAGACATCAAAAAATTTCACGGCTTAAAGGTCAACAACAGTCAGCCAAATTACAAATGCAAAATAATATAGCGAAATTAAAAGCTTTAGAAAGTATTAATGAAGATCGTATTAAAAACGATAAAGACCGAAAGACTAATAATAAAAATACAAAAAATTATAGAATTATGTTAAATTCGCACAAATTAAATAATAATAATAATAATTATGATAATGGTACTATAATTAAAAAATTATTAAAAAATACGAATTTAGAAATTCCATTTCAATTATTTGCCAAATATGATAAAATACAACAATTTATACCAGAATTTCATCCCTATGTAGCAACAAATAATAAAAAAAAATCTGATAATAAATTAAATAAGCCATTATCAAAAAAACAATCTCAATTTTATGACAATATATCGGAAAATTATAAAACAAATTTTTATATTAACAAAAATAACAGTAATAATGATAGTGAATCAATCGAAACTAAAAATTATAAAAATAATATCAGTATTAGTAATAATAATAGCGATAATAATAATAATAATCATAAAAATAATAATAGTAATAAAAATGCTAGTAATAGTAATGATAACAATAATAGTTTCAAAGAGAATCAAAATGCAATCAGATTACAAAATAACAGTAAATTTAATACTAATATAAATAGTAGTTTATATTCAAAAGGAGAAATTAAAACTAATGAAAACGGTAATTTTGATTTTTCTTCAACTAATTGCAACTTTGATCCTTATTTTCTCAGTACCAAATTTATAAAAATATTTAATTTGTGAATGTTTAATTTAAAATTACTATTTAATATGCATTTATTTATTTTGGTTTTATATTATATTTTATGTTCTTACTGTTGTTTGTTATTCGTTTTATTTAAATTATTTTTTTTTTCATGCATTTTTCAAAAATTAATTTTTGCTTTGCCCGCATTTTGAATTATTTATTATATAATTATATGTATGTGTAACATTAAATCATAATTTAAAAAAAAAAAAAATATTTATTTAAAAAACGTAATTTTGGCCAGACACTAAAAATAAAGTTTACTTTTCAAGATTGTGCTTCTAAGTTTAACAGTTTTTAAATTTAAAAATTCAATTTATGAAAACTTTTAAAATGAACAAAAATGTTATCTTACATTTTGTTCTGATTTCTGGCCCCGTCCTAATAGCAAGAAATATCTCGAGTAAGAAACTTTTTTACTTAAATAAAACATCGCACTGCTTTAATATTTGTTAGCTATTATTTTTTATTTATATTATTTTTTTAGAAACGTCTTTATAATTAAAAGAAGTCTTCATTTATTTTTTTCATATACTAATATTATAATTTTATTTGTGTATAGTTAAACGCATATTTAAGATTAAATTTTTAATTTTATTTTTTATTGTACAAAAACTTTAAAGAAAAACTTATTTAACTAATTGAATATAATTTCTTTTAGCTCAAATTACTCAATGGGATCTAATTTTCTATGGTACTGAAGGTCCAGCTCAACCCGATGATACTTCTTCAACGAATACAGGTGGATATAATAAGGAAATTGGAAATAATAATGTTCATGAATTATTTACTGAAGAGATAGAAGGGACTAAGAGTGGTTATTCAAAGGTATACACATTATCATAATAAATAATTTCTGGTACCATTTTGTTTTTTGGAATAATTCTTATTATTATTTTTTTTTTATTCAAACTTGTATTAATTAAAAACTTAAGTTTTTTTTAGTACATACTTTTTATTATATTTTCAAATTCATTTCAAATACATATTATTTATTTTATCAATATTATGGGTAATCTATGATATATTTGTTCGGTTCCAATTTTAAATTTCTGAATAGGTTTATAAGATGATTTATATGGGGGTTACATGATATTCATGCATTTTGGTTATTTATTTTCATTTGTTATTCATTATGGTTTTTGTGGTGATTTTATAAATACTATGATATTTTTAAGAAAAGCTTTTCTTCAAGAATGGTTAATTGCTCTCAATATTGTAATTTTAAGATGAATGAATTTTATTTTTTTTTTTAATATTTTTACGAATTATATTTATGACCATATAAAATTAATTATTTTCCTTTATTTTAAGACCAAAGTACCTGTGTTTTCAATTTTATATAATTTAATGGTTAATTTTAAAAAGTATAGCATTATAAATTTTGTTTTTATAGAGAAATTTTGTTTTAAAAATTTAAAAATGATAGTAATTTAGAATAGTAGTCAAAAATTTAAATCAGGTTATAATTTAAAATATTTTTTCTGTAATATTCGATATTCGATTTAATATTTGTGTTTTACTAAAGTGAATGGTTTAATCTTGTTATAACTAACTAGTTTTGTTTTTGTGTTGTTTTTTAAATAGCTAAAATCATGTGATGATTAATACATAAATATGAAAATTTAATTTAATAGAATAAAATTTTTTAAATTAAATGAAAAATTTCTTATCAAATGGAACATTGAAAATAATTAAAGAAATTTTATCTGATATTGCCTAAAATTTGAAGAATTTAATTATTAATATTTATTTTAATAGATATTTAAGTATTTATAAGATTCTTAAGTGTTAATTGTACTAAAATAAGTGCAATAAATTTAAAAAGTTTAATTTGATATGAATTTCATATTCAATTTTCATAAATAAAATGTATAATTTTCTAGACAAGTACCAAAATTTGAAATATACTAAACATAATAGATAATTAATTTATTATAAAAATCTGATATATTGCGAGGGCGCATCCGTACAACATTATCAATGTTTCTCAATTATATATAAATTGATTTCTTGATTAATATAATAATAAGATTAATAAAATTAGTTAGAGTCTGTCAAGTTTTTACAAAATCATTTATATTGTAAGCTTATTAAATTTACATAACCGTAGTTTTTTAATTTGATTGACGTAATTCTTAACCCAAATTAAATTAAAATAAAATATAAATAGGGGTAAAAATTATTTCTTGAGCTGAGAATTTTGCCACAAAAATTGTTTTCGATTTTACCTAATTAAAATAAAAAAATCAGCTTTAACATCTCATGGTAGAGTCGGTATGCACGAGAATACGATTTATTCCTTGTTTATTAATATTAAATTTATATGTAAATGAAAATTAACTTCATTGCCAATGGATTAAGGAATATTAATTAATTATTTTTTAATATGAAAACATTCTGTGATTGAAATTTTATATTGTAAATTTTTTTCGCTTTAGAAATTGTTTTATATTAGATAACAAAAGGTATTTTAATTATTGGAGAAATAAATTTACGGCAAAACTTTTTTATTTAACATGTATAAATATACACTTATGCATTTTAAAAGTGAAATGTACAAAAACCAAAAAAATATTGCAATTAATACGTACATATATTAAAATATTAAAAAAAACTCGTGTAGTCTTGTGTTTTGGAGTAATAACATAAGTCTTATGTTGTAATGCATTTGAATTTTAATTAAAGGTTTTATTTCTATTTTTTTTTTTTTAATTTATTTCTTTTTCAGATTAATGATGTAGATTCAGATGATCATACTAAAACTGAATGTTTGAGTTTTACTGTAACACAAAGATGTGTAGGTTTGTGTATTATTATTATTGTTTTTTTTTTCGTTACTATGCAATTATTTCCGAAAAGTACAATATTCGGAAGGATATAAGAACTTTAAATTGATATTACTAAGGATCACCGTTGTATATGTGTTTACATAAATATACACGTATATATAAGATATGTTAATATACATGTTTGCAGTACGAATACAAGATTTTCCAATTAAATGTACATATACAGAATATTCGTGGAATATTCATACATGTATATAATTTACTATAATAATAATTTCATAAAATATGACATCAAATCTTTCACATCTTCCACCTATAACTATTTTATAATATTACAATTCACGGCTTTCTCTACAACTTAAAATGCTTTTTAATTTTTTGTGTATAAATTTCATTGACATTGTTATTCAAATTACAACACACACATTATTTTTTTTTTCAAAATGCATTTTTTTTTTTTAATATTCTAACACTAAGCAAATTTGTTAATGCATTTTTATATTTTTAAATGATTGTATTTATTAATAAAATGCTATTCGCTCTTAAATTGTTTCGAATTTAACTGGTTTTTATAATTATTTTACTAAAACTTGTAATAAATTTCTTCTATATGTAAAAAGTTATAATAAGTACGTTAGCCTCTTTAATTATTCTTCTTCTTTTTGAATGAATGCAAATTTATAAATTAATGGAGATGGTAGCAGATTAGATTCAGAAATAGTTAAATTTATATTTAAAAAACTAAATTAAATTTTTAATGTTAAATAATAGAAAAGGTACTTACTACGTTTATAATTTTATAATTAAATATCAAATACTTTAAGCGCACGCATTAAATATTTTTCTTTTCTCTTCAAACTTCCTTTGATTAGTTATAATTTTTTTTTACTTGTTTTAATTTTATTCTCTCTATTTTTAATCTATGTTAAAAAAATAAATGGTTACAGTTAACAATTATAATTTTTTTTTTGTTTTTTAATAATTTTTCTTTATTTTTAGAGTGCACCGAAAATTTCTTCTTATACAATGATCGTTGTTATGCTCAGTGCCCTAATAATACATTTGAGTTCATAACGAAAAATAGAAATAACAATATATTGGATGATGATACTTCTTCTTTTAATAATACAATTGCAATAAAAGACCCAAATAAGAAAAATTTAAAAAAAATTACAACTCTGGATTTAAATATAAAAATTAATAAAATATGCTATCCATGTGATAGTGTTTGCCTAGCATGTAACGGTCCTAGTGCAAATAATTGTATAAAATGTTCAATTGGTAGTCAAATAATGAGATTAACAAAATATGAAGCAACATGTGTTTCAATAATGGAACGTAGTTCTGGTCGAAGTATAAATCAAATTCAACGGATTAATATTTTTGAAATGGGTCGAAATTATCATAATTTTATTTTAATAATTGCATTATTTTTAATAGTTTCTGTGATGTTAATAGTTTTTTTTATTATATATTACAAAAAACATAAAAATTTGTTTTTAAATAGAAATGATTATAATGGCGTATCATATTATGTATTAAGAAATGATGTTGTTATGTAATGTATAGATATAAATAGATATATATATGTAATAGTGTATATGTACATGGAAGAAAATGAAATTTCAAATTTTTTTTTATTTTTTTATTTTCCATTTTTAATTATTTTTTTATTTTTTTATGTTATCCCGTTTTGCTACGTTTAAAATTTAATATTTTCTTAAAATTTAATGTTTTCAATATTTTTGCGAAAATTTAGTTTTTCAATTTAAATTTCATTCAAACATTTTGATAACTAAAGATTTTCACCAGTTAAAATTAATAAAAATTTTATTATTACGTACATATTTGAGGAATATTGCTTTAAATATTATTTTCGGAAGTAACTTAAGATTATTAATTGATTTATAAATATAATACAAATCTAAATTTTTACAAGTAACATTTTCCAATATTTTCTAATTACTTTTTTAATTTTTGATGTAGTTAATTAAAGTAACTTGTCGAATAAATTTATAACTTCTACATTTAATATTTAAATTCGCGTGTTAATTTTTCATATCGTCATAAGATCCGTAACTTGTTTAAGTTACATGTAAAATTTTCCAATTGTCTATTGTTTAATTTATATTTTTTTTTTATAGTTCTCTTATAAATTCTACCAGAATATAGTCGGTCTTAAGAGCGCGTAGATATTATTTTTTCTTTGATTGGTTTTTTGTTCAAATGAAAAAAAAAATGAAAATTTTTCAAAAATAAAATAACTTGTAATGATTTTATAAAATGGAATAAAGTACCTAATCCATATACATAAAAAACATTTATAAATATCTATATAAATACATATTATGATAATTTATAATGAACTAAACGAAATAGAATTAAATAAACTAGCAGAATATTACACTAAAAAATATAAAAAAAAAATCTAAAAATAAGGATTCGGAAAAATTACTCGAATTTAAACATTTTCAGGTACATTCTTATGTAAATATGTATAGTAAAAATAATCAGTCTTCTCAAAATGAAATTTTAAATAATTTTAATGAAACAGGAAAAAAAATTAAGGAATCAGTATTTTTTAATATCGGTACTACTGAGTTCCTTTGCCCAAAAAAAAAAATTAAATTAAAATAAGATATAATAAAATAATTAATTGTAAGAATAAATCCGTATAGTTAAATTGTCAATAATAAAATTTTAATAAACAATTGAAATAAAAATAAATTAAAACTCGTAAATATTGTGACAAAAAAATTGGTTAAGAAAAAAAAAAATTGTAAAACATTTACTATTAATTTAATAATTATTATATAATATAAAATTATATCAATTGAAATTATTTGGACAATATAAATAAAACAAAAAAATATATATATATACCATAAACACACGATAATAAAATTTATTGGTTGAAAAATTTGTAGTAGTCATTATACAAATATACATACATACATATATTTGAATAACTTTATTTATAATAAATTTGCATTTGTAACAAACGAATATAAATTAAATATTTATATACATATTTAATATAAACAAACAATACTTATAATATATATATATGGTAATAATTATATGAAAGTAATAATTATATTAAAAATGTAATATTTATATGAATTAAATATCAATGTGTGATGATAAATTAAACTTTATTGTCATCGATAAGTAAAAATATATTATATAAAAATAAAAAGAATAACGCATTTTTAGAAATTTGAATTATAGTAGTTTTATTACAATTACATTATTCAATTTTCTAGAATAATAATAAATTTACAGTCATAGTTTTTCATTTTGATTTATAAAACATTACTCTTTCTTCTAAATTAGAAGATAATTTTAACAGAAACGTTCATACATTATTTTTACAGTTAACGTTAACGTGCATAATTTTGAAGCTTTTAAATGGTTTTATCTGTATTAAATCCTATAAAATTGTACTTAGATTTAATATTAAATTTTTATTCTATACTGTGTTTTTTGCACAATTTATATGAAGTCATTTGTTTTGCAGGTATCGCTGTCTATATATTTGCAATTATTCAATAAAGCCGGATAATCAATAATTGTCACTTCTAAAATAGACGTCTATCAAAAACGTCATGCGAAACTTTAGGTGCCTAAACAATGGAATAAATTTCATAAATCTTTGTTTATTTTATACACGATCAGCTGTTATTTTTTTTTTTTGTTATATTTTTTTTCAAACATAACAATTTTTTTATACAGTTTTATGCAATATAATATGTATTTGTATTGTATGTATATACATATATAGTATTATGTATCATTAAATTAACTAACTTCATGTGCGTCATTTGTAACTTAACGAATGAAACGTATTTATGAATGTATATTCTAGTGATCATACGGATGACAGAAATAATTTTTTGTATGTATTTATGTCTAATGTCATTCTTTATTAAGTATGTGATGTTTTTGCTATGTCAAGACAAGATCGTAGATTATGCATAGAAAATATTGTAAAAACATAATAGTAGCTAGATAAAAAGTTAAATAATTTTTTTTAGATATTTTTAAAAGTTCAATATATTAAAAAAAATGAATATTAATAAAATTGAATGGGAGGATATTATAAGAGGATTACCCTATAAAATAGACATTATTATTGAAGAAGAGCCAATTTTGGACAAAGAAATAAATGATGCTACAAATATAGAAGATGAATGTGTAAAAGATCTTATAAAAAAAGATATTACAAAAAGTAGTTCGGATTCTGAATCCTCAAAAAATGTTATTAATAGTAAGATACATGCTGTTAAAGATTCCTATGTTCCTTTATTGAAAGGTTCAGTCAAGGTAAATAAATTTATGTAGGTACATACATATATGTATACATGCACATGCATTTTTGAACACAAGTACATAATATAAAACTTCACATTAAAGATTATACCTCTTTTCAAATATGGAATATGAACATAGTACATCAAAGACTTATCGTTTTAGTCCTTTATTTTTAGGTAGGTAAAGGTGTAGCAAGTGCTGTTAAACCATTAAATGTGGCAAATAAGGTTTTAACGCCAATAGGAATTGCCGCTGATACTTATAGAACTGCACGTGCTATTTATTCAGATATTAACTATGGTACGAGTAGAAATACGGTAGAAACTGTTTCGAGTATGGCTGGTGGATGGGGAGGTGGATACGGTGGTAATATTATTTATTTGTTTTTATAAAGAGCAACGTACATTTTTATTACGAAACAAAAATTTTAGGAGCACTGGCAGGAGCTGCTGTGGGCTCTGCTCTTTTACCCGGATTAGGAACTATTATAGGTGGTATTGTGGGTGGTTTAAGTGGTGGTATTAGCGGTGCTATTATAACCCACACTGCGACGAAATCAGTTAGTGATTTGCTTGAATATAATATCAGAAACAAAAACTGTTTAAATTGTGGTCAGACATTTAAGGGTAGGGATTATGTTGGGGAAAATATTTGTATTTGGTGTCAACAAGACAATTTTATTCTTTATATACTAAAAATGTAGTAAATTATATTTATTTTTGTTAACTGATTTATTAAATTAATGTCAACATAATTTTACTTATAAATTTATATTGTCACACATAAGTTTGCAACTTACCAAATAAAATATAGTTCAAGGCTTATTAGATGTGTCATGTTTCCATATTTTTGTAAGGCAAGTAGGTAGGTAGGCATTAATTTTCTGTTACTTATTATGAATCACAGGAGACTCTTAAATATACTTTGCATGCACATGGGAACCTACATGTTTTCAAATAACTAAACAAATGTTATACAGTTTGTAATTTTGTTTTATTTTCGTTTTTGTACGAATTTTTGTAATCCATAGTTTGTCTAAAATGTTTAAACAGTAACAAATTAACATCTTTAGACATTTATACTTTGTAGTATTTTATTCATAACAAATCACCAAGTTAGGAAAATGGTTTTTGCTATTTTTTAAATACTCTTATATATAAACCTATATGTGAAGATGGTAACAAAATTCTATTACGAAAACGTAATTTAAAATTTTCGTGAAAAAACGAAAAGCATTCTTAAATAATAAAATTTTTTAATATATTTAATCATATTTTAATTTTAAACTAATTGTTCTTGACTATTAGCTGATAACTCCATTAAACGCCACGCTGCCTTCGGATTTATTTCGTTCATATCTCTACACAGAACCCATACATAATTAACTCGCATTACTTTTTCGGGATCCCCTTCTATTACGTTATTGTTTCTATCCCTCACACACATTATTTGTTGTGTTTGAAAAGTAATTATTAAAACTGGTCCTTGTTCCATTACTTTTCCCATGGCTAAATCTATATTTTCAATATCGAGTACTTTTGAATCTAATACATATCCCAATTTGATAGCTTGTTTAATAGGCGTTGAAATTATGTTATACGTGCTTTCGAAGCACCAATCTTTTAGTATGTCTAAATTTCCTGTTATCATTGATTCTAGTATGTTTGGAATAATATCTCTTTCACAATCTTTAAGAAATTGTTTCTGATCGAAATCTGGATCTATTTTACATATTTCTGTAAGAGTTTCTGAAAGTTCGGTTTTAGAAAATATGTTACCCATAACATCCGAAACTTTGTCAGTCAATAATCTAGATGCTCGTATAACTGGATTCTCAGATTCGTCATATTTCATTTTCCAATCTAAAACTTTATTTACATAAGTATTATTATTTTTAAATTCTTCCCATGACGCAAAAAATTTTGAATCTTTATGAAGTTCAATCCCAGTATCCTTTTCATTAACTTCAACTGGCTTAAATTCGGATATTTCGTTTCGTTTTCGAAGTTTCTTCGGCTTCTGATATACTCTTCCATGTATACTTTGAGTCCCTATTTCCTTTTTAATAATTTCCGTTGTTTGGGTTATTGTTTGGAATGCACCACTTTTTGCAAATTGTTGACCTTTTTCTCCAATAGCATCTGTAACGTTTTTAGCAGATTTTGATATACCCTCACCTACTTGACTAGCTTTACGGGCTATATCTGTTTTGCCAGCCTCTTCTATAACGTCATGTACCTTATCTTTTATAATACCAATTTTTTCTTTAAGAACATCTGAACTTTTTTGAGCTTCAGATTCAACTGCATTAAACTTCATTCTTGCCGATTTTAAAGCATCGGATTGTTCTAATTTCTGTGCTTCCTCACGAAATTTTTGTATATTTTCTTTCATTTCTTTACTTTTCGACATTTCTTGTTTAAGGTTATCTATAAATTTTGAAAAGAAACCGGATGGTTTTGTCGAATAATTTACGTTGATAAGGCTTGCTGGACATGATTTTGGAAATTGTTGATATACTAGGCTACCAATAAAGGAAATAGATTTCACTCTATACTAAAAGTAAAATAATATTATTTCTCTTTCGTAATTATGTGTCATTATTGCTTACCATTTTAAAAGGATAAGGGTACACTTAAGTAAGACTTTAATTTTAAACTATATGTTTCATAAACAAAATTTGACGATGTTTCTATGTGTCTAGCGAAATTTTGACGTTTCAAAAGAATCTGTCAGCCGATAACAAAATAGAATATAAACAAAAGTAACACATTTAGTGTAGTACAATAAAGATTTATGTTTTTGATAGAAACTGTCAAATATGGACATTCGCTTTAGATATGTTGTTCGACACAAAAATATATAACATAATAATTTCTAACCAATTTTTTTTCACGCGAATTTGAAATTGTCAATTGTCTAATTTTTTATTGATAATAAAAGAAATTTGACAACTATAGAGAACAAGTCGCAAATTAATCGAAAAATATATTTATTTCGCTAAAAATACAATGAATCAGTATGTTTAAGATATTTAGTACTTGTCGTAATCTTCCAAAATAATGAGTTTTCGTTGTCTTTCATTTCTAAAATGCTCAGACAATGTCCTTAAATCAGATTTTTTGGTTTTAACCTTGACCATTTAATTGCCACAAACATTTTTAATTGATTATTCAGGTGCTTTTGTTCCTCTTGACATCTTTTATCACCTTTTTTTTTTAAACTTACATCTCACTTCGAATGGTAAGCTTTACTAATTAACTAAACCTTAAAAAATTAAATTTCATCGATGTTTCCATGAAAATTAGTTTGACAAGTTATTCTTAAACTATTTCGAATACTTATAAAGCGAAGATTAAAATTCGTGAAACCTACTCAAAAACAGAATGAGATGAGAACTTCAAGTTTGAATTACGAAAAATAGAGGCCAATGCTGTTAACATCAACACCTAATAAATTCACGTAAAAGAAAAATACAAACTCTCCCTTTACGAGGCATAAATTAAAAAATACGATACTTCAGTTAAATTTTAATAAAATTAAAGGCTAGTTTTAGAATATGTTCAATACGTAATCATTTTTAATCCAATTCGTGCTTGAGTACTTTAATCGGTTAAAATCAATTAACGAGATCTACGTAACATGATGACTAGGGGGATATTTGCGCTAGCATTGAATATTTTTAAATAAGCTTTCCCTTTTTAGAACATTTTTTAGTACAAAATTAGTTCATGCAACTGTCAATCTCCACATCTGATAGGAAAATCATTTTTGTTGATATTGTACAGGAGTAGTTTTAGCTTTAAAGAAAGCTGAAACTAATTATTTATTAGATGTATTGGACATTTTCTGGGGTACCAAAAGTTGGAGCCGAAACAGCCTCAGATGCCTGTGATTATTTTGTTGATGAAACTGTAACACCAACAAATATGTCTTTAAATTCAGGTAATTAAAACTTTCAAGATACCATACAAAATATTTTCACAAGTAGGTATGTACATTATACAAACATATAAATATTCACAAACCTACTGCTTCAAAAATTTTATTTATATTTTTATTATTTTCATATGTAGATTCTATAAATTCTTTTGAAGAATTAGAGCTTAGGCGCTCTAAACACAAAGATCTACGGCAAGCAGTTCTTTCTGGCAAGGAGAATGAAGTTGTATCTATTTTGAAAAAGCTGAACGAACATGAGAAATCAATTATAGTAAATATGGCATTAGAGCAGGAAAACACCTTAATTTACATGTAAGAGGAAGTGAAAAATTAAACATTGTGTTTTGTGTCATGAGCAATTTTGTCTTAAAAAAAAAATATACAAATTTTTGAAAAAATGCAATTGGTACTTATATGAATTTTTTTCTTTGTACAAAAAAAAAAATTTGTTATGCATATGCTATGACGTTTGGTTTGAGTGAACGACATTTAGATATTTCGCAATTTAAATGTTTACAAGGTCGTGCAACATTGCATGTCTAGTCAGCTGATTTATTGTTACTGTTTTATTTATAAACATTTCAGGTCGTTGACCGGTTCTTGTTTGTAAATTGAACTGATAAGATAAATACAATTGTATTGATAGCATTATAAATTAAAAGTAGCGCCAAAAATTTATGTTTTAATAATGTTTTTTATTTTTTTATTATTTAAATTTCTCTAGAGCATCACAATTCGGATACGAAAATATTGTTAAATATTTAATTCAAGATGGAGCGGATGGACGAGTTAATAATAGAACTAAATATTCTCCTCTATATGCAGCCATTACAAACGGTCATTACAAAATAACTGCATTGCTCTTGGAAGCTTTTCCTGAACTAATAAAGGTAATATTAAAGAAAAGGAGAAAAATGTTATTAAAAAATTCCTTTTTGTTTTTAGCAACCAACTGTTGAACAATGGCTTCCGCTGCATGCTGCGTGTATTAACGGTCATGATGATTTAGTTGAATTAATTATTAATTATAATTATCCTGATCACATATATACAGTATTTAGGTAAGTTGGTCTTGGTATCTGACATAATGATTTAATGGTACCTTCAAATAACTTGTTATAAACGAAAAATAAAAAAAATTAAAATACTTATAAACTAATGCTTATTTGCCACTGCAGAGATTCCGAAGGAATTTGGGAATGGAAACTACCTTTCGATCCAAATGGGCAAGATGTAACAGGGCAAAGTAGTCTTTATATTGCAAGTATTTCCGGGAAAGTTTCGTTGGTTAATTTGTTGTTAAATTGGAGAGTTCAAATTTATAAAACTAACGCGGTATCCCCAACTGATAATATTTTACAAGCAAGAAGAAATATTTCTCCAGGGATTCGCAAATTAATATCAAATTTAACTGAGGATAAAGGAATTTATTCAGTAAGTTGTTAATGATTTTTTAGTTAATATTTTTTAACAAATTGTAATGTTTTTTTTTTTAGGCAAATGAAGTTCCCACGAAATGTCCTATTAGTCTAAACCTTCTATGTGGTGCAGCAAAAGAGACGGCGCTTTTAGCTGCTGTACGTGGAGGTTTTGTTGATGTAGTTAGTTCCTTATTAGAACATGGTGCAGATCCAAATATTGCTGCGAAACCTGTTGAAAATTCCAATGATTTTGGGTAAAATAAACTAAATGATTGTGCAAAAGCATCGTTTTTCAAACCAGATTTGTATTGAAAATTTATAAATTTCTTTTAAGAGAGGAGATTTTCGGTTTATGTAACGTTCCTTTAGCTGAAGCTTGCAAGCAAAAGTCTGAAGATTTAATAAAAGTTTTGTTGCAGTAAGTGTAAATTATAATGATTTTTGGAATCTTTAAATTTTTGTGATTGCCATTTTTTTAGTTATGGGGCCCGTGATGATCAGGGTACTGCTTTAAGAACCACTCTGGTTGGCGGTGATGAAGTAATTTTAGGCACGTTGCTTTCAAAAAGAGTTCATCCAGATTCTGATTATCAAATTAACACAAAGTGGTTACCTGCCAAAATCAAAACAAACTACTCAAAGTTTACTCTTAATGAAAAATCAAAAGGATTAATTCCAACAATAGTTGATTGGCACAGCAGTCATCACGTACAACTTCCGCATATTAAGTAAATATACGAAAGAACAAGGAGAAATTTTTTAAACGTACATATTTTTTTTTGTTTTTTACAGAATGGAGTGGATTAGAGATTGTGTGCTTACATTAAATCCGCATTTGAAAAAAAATCCTAAAGTCGATAGTATATCTCTCACGGCTATTACAAGAATAGACATATCACAGAATAGTATATCTTGTTTACCGATTGAAATATTTTCCTTAACTAGTTTAAAGTAAGTAATGTGTTTATTTAGACAAAAATATAAATATGTAATATTAATTTTCTATTTTTTATATGTAAACATTTTTCTATCACAGATACTTGAACGTTGCACAAAATAAGCTTGAAGAGATTCCAGTTTCCAATGAAATTCCATGTTACAATTGTCCAGTTTTAGAAGAAATTTACTTACAGGATAATAAGTTAACTGCAATACCTCCAGGAATATTTCAATTAGTGTCACTATTAGTATTAGATGTTTCAAATAATAAGCTACAGGAAATGCCGTTCGAAATGTGGAAAGCACCCAAATTGAGAGAGTTAAACATAGCATTCAATTTACTAAAAAATTTACCAAGCTCTCCTAATGAAGTAAGAATTTTGAGTATATTAACAACGAAAACTTTCATTAAACTAAAAACATTTTAGGGAAAGAAAGATCAAAAACTTTTTTTTCCAACAATAGACGCAGCTTTAGAGGATTTCGAAACACTAATTTCTGCAAATAGTAACTCGAAACCATTGCAGTAAACAATTTAATATGAATTCGTAATAATAAATATTTTAGCTTTAATTTATTTTAGTTCCAAAACATTAAAACATTGTAACGCTTGGTCGCAATTACTAGATATAAATGATAGGGATATTCATTGGAACTTCGAAAATAATGACAAAGACAGCAAAGTTAGCAGTTTAAGTGCTCTAAATTTAAGTAATAATTTATTCACTTCAGTACCGATAGTTTTACCTTGTTTGGCAAATAACTTGACACGGTTGAACATGTCGTACAATAATTTAAGGTAAATATTTTCATAATAAAAAAATAATGGAACCATTTTTGAATGAATCATGATAGGTCTATGGGCCACATTACTGGATTTCCAGCAACTATTAAACAACTAGATTTAAGTCATAATGAAATAACGTGTTGGCCAAGTCTACCTCAAATATGTGACTCTGATCCTCATTTGCAATGTTATGAGGAAGAATCTACGAAAGAACCAGAGGAGATGACACCTGGTAAAAGATATTCGTCATTGAGAAGTAATGTTTTAAAAAATGTTTGTCGGCACAGAAAACATTTAAGGTTTTGTGAATTTGCAATATAATATGTTTCATTTCTGTACAATTAATTTTCTTTAGATTGGAAACATTAAAAACTTTGATATTAGCTGATAATCTGTTAACAAAAATTCAGCTTTGCACTGATGATTCAAGTAGTGGAAGTCAATCAGATTTTAATTTTGGTAACACTACTAAATCAAGACTAATGTTTCCCAACCTTTCTATGTTGGACATTAGCAACAACTGTTTAAAGGTATGTTTAATGTTTCTATTAAAAAAAGTGAAGAGGTGCATAAATTTTGTTTGTTTTAGGAAATTCCAATTAATATATATGAATTGAGCAGTTTGAGTGTTTTAAATATTAGTGGTAATGTTGATGTTAATGATCTTCCCCCACATTTAGGACTCTTATCGCGATTATGGAACCTCAATCTAAGGGGTTGTTCATTACAAGAGCCACTTAAAACAATGGTGGAAAATAAAAAATATAAAACAATGAATATTGTTGGGTATTTGAAGTCAATTTATGAGGATGCGCAACCATATGCGCGAATGAAGCTAATGGTTGTAGGTGTTCACGGAATCGGGAAAACTACTTTATTAAATGTGCTTAAGCATGGTAATTCAAAGAGACCTAATTCCAATAGCGATCATTGGACAAAGAGGGTAAGACCGAAAGGAAATTATACAAAATCCTCAAAACCAATAAATATTTCTACCGTCGGAGTTGACATCGGTACTTGGGTTTGTGAAAAAAAAATGAAAGATTCGTATGGTCCTGTTATTTTTAGAACGTGGGATTTTGGTGGTCAAAAAGAATATTATGCGACACACCAATACTTTCTATCTAAACGTAGTCTGTATTTAGTTCTATGGAAAATAACTGACGGTCAGAAAGGTTTAAAAGAAGTTCTGCAATGGCTGGGAAATATTCAGGTGAAAACCTTAACATAATAATACTTTTGTTAACACTGAGTAACATTTCATATGTTAATTTTTAGACACGTGCCTGTAATTCTCCAGTAGTAATTGTAGGCACACATTTGGATGAAGTTGGAAAAACATTCCCTATTGCAAAAGCGCAAGAGTTACAACGAATCATTAAAGAGAAGTTTATAGCCATTCCCGATGCAGAAAAAGTAGGATTACCCCGTGTTATTGATTCAATACAAATCAGCTGCAAGTATGCTGAGAACATTTTTTCAATTTTGTTGAATTTTTTTAAAAATATTATTCTATTTTCTTTCAATTATTAGAACTCTACAAAATATTTTGCAGTTGTCAAATTTAATTTATGATTCCGCGTTTTCTCTACGTTCACCTGGCTCTAAAGAACCTCTCTTGCTGCAAAGAATACCTGCCACTTACATAGCTTTAGAAGATGCGATAAATATAATAGTCAATAAATTAAAGATTTCTGGGCGTGATCCAGTTTTATGCGCTGAAACTTATAAAGAATTAGTTAAGGATGAGATGCAATTGAATGGGCATAAAGGTTTTAGAGATTCTGCGGAATTAGATCAAGCGACGATGTTTCTACATGACAATGGAGTCATATTGCATTATGATGATGTTACTTTAAGAGACTTCTATTTCGTTGGTAAGTATTTGATTAAGAATAAAATTTACTTTACAAATTTAATCTTTTATTTAATTAATAAATACCACATTGTGTTTAGATCCACAATGGCTTTGCGATTTGCTAGCACATGTTGTTACTGTTCGAGAAATTAATCCTTTTGCAAGAGATGGTGTGATGAAGTTAAATGATTTGGATGTTTTATTGAAATATGATGACTCCAAGACAAATGAAAGAAAAAAGTAAACATTTTGATTAACTAACTTTCAATAGTTTTTCAACTACTTATGAAATAATAAAAATAATTTTTAGATATATTATCAGTTTATTAAATAAATTTGAAGTTGCACTTTCTTGGGACTCAAAAACTTTAATTATTCCATCATTATTGCCGGAATACCAAACATCTATGAAAAAAACTGTAATTCAGGTAATGTTTATAATTTTTAGCTCAAACATTCGAGCTCTTGTATTTTCGAATGTGTTTTTTAGGTGCCAAGGAAGTTTAAGACAACTGACTTGTCAGCTGTCATGTGTGATAACTTGATACTTCTGTCATCAAAACCGGTGCCAGATCCTTCAGAAATCAGACGTATACTGCTGATGACTTATTTCCCGTCAGGTTTTTGGCCTCGTTTAATAACTAGGTTTTATTTGTCAACTTCGTTGATCTAACAAATTAAATTTGCTTGCTGTATTTTTAGAATATTATCTGACGAGCAAATTGCAAATGCAGTTCTGAATATTTTGCAAATAAAGACGGGATTCAAGGTATTTACTTGGTTTTTTATCATTGTTCTAATTTTAAAATTTAATTTGGTTTTAGAATATGAACAATTTATTGCAATACTTTGTTGAAGAAAATTTACAATGGAATTTATGGCAAAGAGGAATAGCTTTATGCCTTTCAAATATAGTTTTATTTCAAATAAAGGAAGTCCCTTTCAATTCTAGATCAATTTATAGAAATCGTTGTAATAAATTTAAATTAAAAGCTGAGGGCGTATGGAATGAAGTGAACATAAATAATTCAAATATATTAGAAATTTACTTTTCATTAAAATCTATTGACTTGTATCAAACTCTAAATGATACTACCATTTTTGCTGGAAAGTATGATGTTCAGTTCACTGTAGCATCAAAATTATTAGCTATGCTCTCTGATCATATTGATATTTTATTAGAAGATTGGTATCCTTCTTTAGGTACAAGATTTGTACATACGTCAGAAGGTCGTTTTCTTATAACTCGATTAACCTTATGTCCTGAGTGTTTTAAAAAACTAGAACAACAAACAGCCAGTGCGGATTGTGAAGAAAATGTTGAATTTAAGACAGAAAACATAGATAATTGTCTTCCAGTATTAAAAGATGAACTTGATGAATACTTCCAAAGTATAATTTTCGATGTAAGATATTTGGATGGGTATTATTGAACAATAAAAATTAAAATATTTTAATAATTTTTAAGGGCGGCTCCAATAGTAGCTCACCGGCTGATCATTCTGGAGCACTTGAAATAATTTGTTTTGCCTGGATGATAGAGGAGTGTATATTTTCAGCTTATAATAAATCTAAAGTGTCTTGTCCTGAGCATTTCGAATGTGATTTTAAATATATCGCTCCAGATGTGGTAAAATCAAACAGTTTTACTATAAATTTTAGAACGATGACCTTACTTTTTATACCACTAGGTTTTTATGGATATTTCCGAAGATTTGCTTATTAAGCAAGAAGATATAATTCGCGGTGAGCTTCTTGGTAGAGGCGCATTTGGATTTGTTTTTAAAGCTATAGCTAATGTTAGAAAAACTCAAAGTTTCGGTTCAGTGGCAATGAAAATGCTTCAACCAATACCACCAGGTCCAGGTGCAAGAGATGTACGTAATATGACGTTCTAATTTTAAAATATTATTCAGAAAGTTGAAAAAAATTAAGTTAATTGAGAGATTAATGCATATTAAAAACTAAAACTTTTTTTCAGAGTGCACTCATGGCTTATAAGATATCGCTCGGTAAGTGGGATCGAGATCCTTTGCAACATTCTTGTAAAGCATATTGTATTGCAAGACAAGAACTGGCAGTGCTTCTGACGTTGAAGCATTTAAATATAGTTCAACTAAAGGGCATATGTGTGAAACCTTTGGCTCTTATTTTGGAATTCGCTCCTTTGGTAATACGGAAGCGTATTGCATCTTTATATTTAAATATTATTAACTTTTGGTATTATAGGGAGCTTTGGATGGAATCTTAAGACAATATAAACGAAGTGGTGCACGCATATCGCCTTACACTTTTCAGCTTATGACATTACAAACTGCTAGAGCTATAGAATATTTACATAGAAAAAAAATTATTTATAGAGATTTAAAATCTGAAAATATATTAGTGTTTGAATTTCCATTACCTCATACGTAAGTAAAATTTATTATAAATGAAAATTTGAAATCATTTTAACTTAATATCTTGTAGGGATAGTATTTCAAAAAATAAGGTCCTCCTTAAAATTGCTGATTATGGCATCAGTAGAATTACAACACATTGCGGTTCTAAAGGTTTTGGGGGTACAGAAGGATTTATGGCCCCAGAAATAATAAGATTTAATGGAGAGGAAGAGTATACTGAGAAAGTGGATTGCTTCTCTTTCGGAATGTTTTTGTATGAATGTATTACATTAAGACAGCCATTTGAAGGATGCGAGTCAATAAAGGAGTGCATTTTAGAAGGGAATAGACCGCCATTATCTCTTAGAGAAAGTCAAGTTCCAACATATTGTTTGGATTTAATGGTACATTGTTGGAATGATTTACCTCGGGTTAGTGTAATAAAAATTTTTAACAGTTTTGCTGTATCACAAAGAAAGTTTAAATGTAATATAATTTAATTTATAGAAAAGACCATCGGCCAGCCAAATTGTTTCAATTATTAATGCTCCAGAATTTATTCATTTGCTTGATGCTGTTTCTTTATCTAATACTCATAAAATAAATGTTATATCTGGAGTATTTGTTGATACCAAAGAAGGACAAGGCAAGAATTAAATAACAAAAAATGAGAAATCGAATTTTGTACGTTGAAGTTTACAATAATTTTTCTTTTTATTTTATTTTTTAAAGAGCAATATCCTGGTTTACAATTATGGCTTGCATCCAACAATTGTAAAATCGAAGTCTTATCTATGCCGAAAGATTTTCGTTTTCAAGAACATCAAAATGTTATAATTAGTAAGGAGCCACCAGATATATCGTGCAGATCAAATTTATCAGATAGTATAAAACCAGACTTTGTCTGTTGTTGTCTTGTTGAAGATAATATATGGGTAGGCGATTCATTTGGAAATTTACGAGCTTACAGGTTTGTATATAAAAAAACTATAACAGCAAAATAATATGATATATATCTAATAGTTTTCTTTTTTTTAGTTCATCTAGCTATGAATTAATATTTTTTTATACATTTGACACACAAACAAAAAGTTCAATCATTATGCTTATATATCTTGCCGAAATACAACGAGTTATAGTAGGATTACAAAATGGTCGAATTTTTTTTATAGATTCCACTTGTGTTCCTTTTAACTATACATTTGCTGAAGGTTCGTTTGTTTTAACTGAAATTTTTTCAAGCGATATTTTAATAAGCGCTTGTGCTTTGTGTAATGGAAGGTATAGTACTTTTTGAAAACTTAAATTTTATAAAATTAAAGTAAATTTTTTTAATTTTATTTAGTGAGTATGAATTGTGGTGTGGAAATAATTCATCCATTATAAATATATTTCCATTTAATAAATCTGGTGTTACAAGTCACTTGTCTGTTAATCATTTTTCAACAAACCCATTGACGAGGAATCATTATGAAGTTTTTAAAATGGTTTCAGCTAAAAAATATATTTTTTCATGTTTAAAAAAAGGGTCCATTGTCTATCAGTGGAATGTTTGTGATAAAGTTATACAAGGTAAATTAGATTGCTCTAAACTTTTACCTTGTTCTGAAAGTCTGAAAAGTATATCAATTGAAGATCATTTAGGATCGTCTCATAGTCAAGTAAAGACATTCGAATATTTCTCAAATGATCAATTTAAAGATAATTTTATTTTTAGATTACAGCTATAAAAACAACTGAGAAAGTTTTATATGTTGGAACAGCTGCTGGTTGTTTGATAATTGCAGATATGGAATCATTATGCCCTTTAAAAGTTTTTCGACCACACGAAAAAAAAGTAAATAAATATAAGGTTTTATTTTAAATCCGGAATACAGTAAAGCATGCACTGAAACGTTTTTCGATTTTATAATTTGAAGATAATTAAGATCGTGGAATAGAGATTTTTGATAATTATGGCGTATCTGAAACTTATATTAGATTTTATATTAAAATCTAAGTTAAAATTGAACTGCCGAAAAATCCTCAGTCATATTGACTTAAATTTTTTAAATATAATTTTTGATGAAGATTTCTCTAGAATCTTAAAATTAAATTACGTCTATACACACATTCTTACTTAAATGAATTTTTTCATATAAATTGTTGTAGTTTTATTTTAGTTCAATTAATTCCATTTTCTTGAGAGCGATCGGTTAAATGCACTGCAAACACAAATTTTATCATTAAATTTATATTTTTTTTTTTAATCTCATTTTTGTTTCTTGTAGGTGAAAGATATAATTATTGTTCAAGAGGAAAATAAACCACTTTTGGCAACTATTGGAATTGGTTACAGACCGTTGTTAACAAGATTTATGGATTATGATAGCACGTTTTTAGAACAAGAAAATAATTTAAAACATTTGTATTGTTTGTTATGGCATGGTGAAAATTGGACATGATCGCAAATGAATAATTAAAAAGATTTGTAAATCCATTTAGGTTATCGTGAAAGTAATCATATTATGATTTTAAGCAATTTTAATAATTTAATAATAGGAATTTAAATAAATATAAAATTTTGACTGTTTTGCGTTTTAATTTATTTTATATATTATAAAAATGTAATTTAGTAATTAATCACTTATTAGCTTTTTAAATTAAAAATTTATATTTTACTCAAAAAAAAAAATTAATTTTTTAGTAATTTAGTAGATAATTTATTTCCAATATTTCCGAGATTAATAATTTTTAAGCTAAAAAATAATTTTTATTTTTTAATTAAAATGAATGTAAAATGTATTTAATTTGTTTTTGTCCGATGTAATTTATTAAAAAAGAAATAAAATGTTTATGCTACTTTTATAATTTTTATTTTTCTTGCCAAAAGTGCTTACGAGTCAAGTTTCCCTGAAACGATTATTTAAATAGGTTACTGAAAATTCATATTGTTTATAATAAAAATATAATTTGCGAAAACAAGTTTTATTTTTTAGGTTTTATAATTCAGAGTCACAAGTTCTTAACGTTCTGGTACTGTTATTGAAGACTTATTATTTGATTTTGTGCTCCCATAATTTCGGATTTTTGCTGGAATTTATGTAGAACCGAACATCATGTTAAGGACATTGCCAAAAACTAGGGATTTTTGATCATTTAGATATGCTTTGAATGTTCTAAATTAAATATAAAAAATATTTGCAGACATATATCAAATTTGTAGATACTAAATGTAACTAACCACATATTTGTTTACCAACATTCTTAAATAATGTTTTTCTTTTAATAATTTTATAATATTTTTGCAGTAGGTATAAAAAAACTTACAAATTCCTTTAGATCTTTAAAAGGAATGAAGAAATTATAAATCAAACACCATGACTAAAAAAATTCTCTTTTCATTTTGTATTTGTTAATTATTTTATATATTCTCATTAGTTAGACTTCGAATTTATGTAACTAAACTGGTTGTTACATGTCCTAGATTGTAGTACAAAATTTTTGAAATTAGACGATGAGGGTTTTCGTTTATGCACGTTAAGCTGAAAGTTCTTCATTAGAACTAAAATTTCTAAATAGCAGCATTAAACAGTATGCAAAAACTTTAGCTAATTTTTTTTTTTTGTTTACGCAGTCTACATGAGGCAGCGACAAAATCAACACTAGAGGTCTGCGCTACATTTCTAACATTTCTTTATTGCAGATTGAATTTCCGAACGCACTTTATTGTAGCCAGTAATTTCCTAACGATCTATATTTTCATGTAGTATGAATTTTCGAACGAACTGCAAGCTAGAACTATTCTAGAACTGAATAAACGAAAAACCCCGACCATTACACTTTTATTACCTATGATATTATTAAAACAGCTTTAAAAAACTATTCTAAATAATATTTATTTTAAAAAATTCATTGTTCACATTTTAATTCTGTATGATTTGGATATTATTCATTTCACAAGTCTAACAATTGTGTAAGATAATTAAATAACTATAAGGAAAAAATTTAATTCAAGTTCCAAAATAAAAATTTTACCCATTTCCCTATAATTTGAGAATCTTCAAATGTAGCCTAGTTTGAGAAGAAAATTGTAACTGTGATTAAACTTACTAAAGCATTTCTTAAGATTTTCTTTAAATGCAATAAAAATATTTTAAGTTGGGGATCAAAATATCATCAAAAAATGTCGAATATCGAAAATGCAAAAGTAAATTATTTATTTTTATAAGACCTATAATTGTAAAAACTCCAGCAAGTCAGTTTGAAAGCCGACTTTCTGTCAATAAAGTTGACAACACAAAAAAAAATAAGTCAGAATGAATACTAGAATGAGAAAGATAGTCTAAATTACTTTACTTGTATACCTGTATTTGGGTTGGCGAACAACCTTCGCCTGAGTCCCAGTTGTAGAACCGAGCGTCGTGGAAAAGATCGTTGTTATTTACGAGTATTTTATGTTTTAAAATAGTCATAGATACGAGTGTGGTATTATGGAAGTTTTTTTTATCTTTGCTTATTTCAATTTTAAGAATGTAATAAAAATTACAAGTTGATTTTGAAATAGAAAATCATTAACTTTACCTTTGTAACTATGCACTTAAATACTATGTATATATGCTTATGATTTTAAATTCATACTATACCTGTTATGTACCGCAGACGATGAACACCTGAACAGTAATGTTCTATTAACAACAATTTTGCCCATAATTAAGTAAAATCACTAATTTCACTTAAAACCTTTCCAATTTGTCTCCTAATAATTACATGATCTATGATTATAATTAACGCCGGAAGGAAAAGACCGAGACGAATAAGAATATTTTTGTTATATAGGGAAAAAATGATGGCATACATTGAATGGTTCTAATATTATGCACTTTAATAAGACGCAAAAGAATAGTTGGATGGATTATGTGCTACAGATAACTTTAATATAGTAAAGAAATTTATTTGAAATATAATAGATTTACTGGCAATATTCTGGGACTAATGATCTTCTTTGTTTTTATTATACCCTTCACGAAGTGCAGAGGTGCAGGGTATGCATCTTCTTTGTTTTTATTATACCCTGCACTTCGTGAAGGATATAATAAAAACAAACGAGTATGGAGTCTGTAACTACTCGAAGGAGTCATCTGCGTTATGAACATATATATATATATTCTTGCTCAGCGTAAAATTCTGCGTCGATTTAGACATATCCGTCCGTCTGTCCGTCTGATCGCACGATAACTCAAAAACGAATAATGCAATCGACACCAAACTTTCAAAAGTTTTTTTTTTTTTTGTGCCAAGGACGAACCCTATTGTAATTGGACTAATTTGGACAACGGGTTCGGGTAGCTGCCATTCAACTCAAAGAGTTTATTTTAAATATTTCAAAAACTAATAAAGCTATAAATACAAAATTTTGTATATATGTGTCCAATTATATTCTACACATGCTCTAAAATGGGATAGCTGCACCGGTTCGGGTGGCTACCATACAACTCCAAAAGCAAATTTTTTATATTCAGAAAAATAATAAAGTCAGATTCATGAGACTTGGCAGTCGTGTGCCCAATCATAGGTCAGACATACTTTTGAAGTTTTGGTGGAATTGCTTGATAGGTTCGAGTAGCTCCCATACAAGTCTAAAAGCTAATTTTAAATATTTTTGGAAAAATAATAAAGTGAGATTCATGAAACTTGGCACTTATGTGTCCAGTTATAGGTCAGACATATCTCCGTAAAGTTTCTATAGAATGGTGTCACAGGTTCGAGTAATTGCTATATACAACAACGAAAGGTGCAGGGTATAAATCAATCGGTTTGTTTTTTTATTATTATTAGTGTTTTCTTGAAAATGCAGATGTACAAAAGTTTTTATGCAAAATTGCATTTAAGTTTTATTTATCCGAGTATTTGACTTGACTATACAATCACACAATTTTTTTTTTTTCTTTTTAAAAATATGAATTTAAATATTAGTTAAAAAAAAAATTTGCTTTTTTTTTTTGAAACACAACGGAAAGAAAGTTAAACAGATAAAAAGTAATTTTGTTTTTTTTAGGTTTTTTCTTTTTTACTAAGATTGCTTTCATTGTATAGCTGGTATTTGTTCTCTATATATATATAGATATATACATATACATATATATATTATTATATACATTAATAATAGTATATAACTTAAACCACAGTTTAGTTTCATGAATGTTAAAACATAAGTTTGTGTTGTTTTTCTTTTTTTTTGTTCAAATTTTTTTTTTTTTAAATTTTTTTTTTTTTACCTTAAATCATTAAAAATAAATTAATTTTTACATTACAACTTTTGTTTTGTTTTTTTTTTTTTTAAAGTTTCCAAAAACTAAGCTTCGAATCAGGAACGTTTTTTTTTTTTGTTTCTTTTTTGAAAGTGAATTAATGCAAGGTGAGCAAAGATTTTTTATTTTTATTATTATTGCTTTCTGTTTTTTCATATAATAAGTATTAGATAGGCTTATAATATGGCGGCAGCATTTTACATTTATTGACAATATGGGTATATAATCGGAAAGTAATCGATGCAGGATTGATGAGAAATTATGTAAAAATCATGTATACGAGAATGCATCAATACGGTATAATATTTTAATTATTTGGTGTTTAAAAATGTAAAAAATATGCATCGTAAGCAAACGTTACGCTGAAAATTCTACATTAAAACTAAAATTTCTAAGTTACAACGTTAAAGAGTGTGCAAAAATTTTAGCTAAGCTTTTTTTTGTTTACGCAGTCTACAAATTCTGTAACTTTTATTTATAAACTATCGTTCGAAAATAGCATAAATGGTATTGTTTATGAATATATACTATTTTCCAATACTTTTCGACTTCAAATTCACTACAAAATAAGGAACTTTTAACAAGATTTGATGACTTAAAGAAAACTCACTTTAACACCCTTAAATATCCGAATATGTCATTTTGAAATTTAAAATTTTTTTTTTTTTGAATTTTAAATTAAAAAAGAAAAATAAATTTCATGAAGCAGTAACAAAATTTATACTAGAGTTCTGTTCTACATTTCTAACATTTCTTTATTGCAGATTGAATTTCCGAAAGCATTTAATTGCAGCCAATTATTTCTGAACAATCTACATTTTCAGTGTATGTAGCGTGAATTTTCGAATGTACTACAAGTTTTGAACTATTCTAGAACTGAATAAATAAAAACCCCCATCATATTAAATCTGTAGCTGTGTATCAATTTTGTATTAATGCAGGATTTTTTAAATGGAAGCTGAGAAGAAAATAATTTATCATTTTAAGTCAATAACTAATAAAATTAATATTATTTCTTTAAGCATGGTAAAAAAAAATTTCAGTTGTTACTAATTTTAATGCTTTTACACAAAATCTTTTCCAAACAAACGCCAAAAAACATATAAGATATTTAGAAATTGTCAAAATAATATTGCATATCGGCAAGGTACACGACTCACATCGGTTTAAGCATTAGCAACATTTTTTTTGCATTGATACTGCATTGATGCACATTTTTGATTAATTTCCGATTATATCGAATATTTCAAAATAAACTATTACATAATAAAATTTTTTCTATTACCCGTATTCTGGTTAGTCGTATCACATGAGATGATGGGATATTATTTGAAAGAATTTTGTTCTTCATTATACAATTTCAAATTTTGGTATTGATTTAATTCAGGAAATTACAATATTTTTGAATAACAATTTATTACGTCAAGTGATGCGACTAACAAAATA